AGAGAACAAACCCTACCCCCTTCTAGCACAGATAATGTTACCTAGTTGGGTCATGAAACGTCTGTAAGAACACAACCAAGCTCAGAAGAGAAGAGAAGAGAAGAGAAGAGAAGAGAAGAGAAGAGAAGAGAAGAGAAGAGAAGAGAAGAGAAGAGAAGAGAAGAGAAGAGAATATAGGAATGGAATGGAGTAGAGTAGAGTAGAGTAGAGTAGAGTAGAGTAGAGTAGAGTAGAGTAGAATAGAATAGAACAGAATAGAATAGAATAGGGTGACAAATTCCTCCTCCTCCCCTTCTCCACAAACCCCACTCCCTTCTAGCACTGATAATGTTACCTAGTTGGGTCATGAAAAGTCTGCAAGAAAACAACCAAACTCAGAATAGAAATAGAAATAGAAATAGAAATAGAGTAGAGTAGAGTAGAGTAGAGTAGAGTAGAGTAGAGTAGAGTAGAGTAGAGTAGAGTAGAGTAGAGTAGAGTAGAGTAGAGTAGAGTAGAATAGGAATAGGAATAGGAATAAGAATAGAGTAGAGTAGAGTAGAGTAGAGTAGAATAGAATAGAATAGAATAGGGTGACAAATTCCTCCTCCTCCCCTTCTCCACAAACCCCACTCCCTTCTGGCACTGATAATGTTACCTAGTTGGGTCATGAAAAGTCTGCAAGAAAACAACCAAACTCAGAATAGAAATAGAAATAGAAATAGAAATAGAAATAGAAATAGAAATAGAAATAGGAGTAGAGTAGAGTAGAGTAGAGTAGAGTAGAGTAGAGTAGAGTAGAGTAGAGTAGAATAGGAATAGGAATAGGAATAGAGTAGAGTAGAGTAGAGTAGAGTAGAGTAGAGTAGAGTAGAGTAGAGTAGAGTAGAGTAGAATAGAATAGAATAGAATAGAATAGAATAGAATAGAATAGAATAGAATAGAATAGAATAGAATTCTTTATTGGCCAAGTGTCATTGGACACACAAGGAATTTGTCTTAGGTGACAAATTCCTCCTCTTCCTCCTCCTCTTCTCCACCAACCCCACTCCCTTCTAGTTAAGGACTACCTGCAATTCCACCCTCCTTGCTAGGAGCCTGGAGCCTGGAGTTACTACTATTAAATTCAATCAACAGTAACCACGAGAAGCAGCATCCGCAGTTTCTGAAGGTCTCCCTTCCCCTTAAAATTACAGAGAAAGGTTTATTGCTCTCCGAAGGCTGAACACGACTCTCCCCCCGCCACTCCCCCCCCCACCCAGTGGGAGAGTCCATTAGCCCTTGGAGTACAGGCAGTCCTTGACTTACGACCGTTTGCTGAATGACCCTTCGAAGTCGCAACAGCACTGAAAAAGCACTGGCCGCTGCAGCATCCACACGGTCGCAAGTGTGTGCCGTCGGCAAGCGGCATACGTTTTAAACAACGGTTGCAACATCCCGGTGTGTGTTTGCGTGTCACACAATCCGCCATCTGTGACCTTCCTGGCCGGTCAATTGGGGGGGGACGACGACAGGATTTGCTTAACGACCGTGTGATTCGCTTAACAACCGGGGTGGAAAAGGGGAATAAAGGAGGCACGGCTCGTTTAGCAATGGGGAATTGCGTTCCCCGTTGTGTCCAAGGACGGGGAGGGTTGGGACGGGGAGGGGAGGGGGGAGGAAGAGGCTGGAAAGTCCCCATACAAAGTGTGAGTGTGTGAATGTGTTGCTTTTTGGCAAGGTTGCTGCTTCAGGGGGAACGCAAGGCGTTGCCAGGGGGCTCCTGTCTGCCAGCTGTACCACGGACCTTCCCCCCCCGCATCTCTCCCCTTCTTCCTTGCAAGCTCCCTCCCCAGCCTCCCCCTTCCCGGTTCTCCTCCCCCCCCCGCCCTTCCTTTCTCTCCTCTTCTCACAGAAACCAGGACAGCTTAATTGCTGCTGATGCAGTTGCCATGGCGACCGCAGGAGGAGGAGGAGGAGGATGATGTTCGCTTCCTTTCCCCCCCCCCTCCCCAAAACTCATCTCGCCATCAAAAGAAGGAAAGCCCAAACCGTCTCTGGGCGAGGCCAGGAAGGTGGGGATTTTTTTTTTTTTTTGCAACTGCTGCAAAGCGGCGGGGAAGGGGACGAACCCGCAGCCCCCTCCCCAAAGCATTCCCAAAAGATGAACCTCTCCACCCATCCATCCCCCGCCCCCCCAGCAGCATCTGAAGCCGGAGGAAGAAAATCTTATTTACATATTTTTGTGTTTTTTAAAAAAAGCCCTTTTCCACGTTGCTCCCCAAAAGGCTGGAGGGGAGGGGGTTTGCAAGGACCCCACCCCACCCCGGCTCGATCCAGCTGCGGGCTCTCTCAGCCGCCCGCTTCTCTTTCCAGGCCAAAATAAATACGCTTTCAATGGAAAAGCGTCCATTTAAATTCCAGATTGGTCAGAAAAGGATTCTGTCAACAAAGCAGGGAAGATGTGCTGCCGGCAGAATTTAGGAGCGAAAAAAACCGGATTTCGGGAATCCGTCTCGGTGCTGCGCACAAATCCTCAAAGTGGCCTGCCGATACACAGGAAGTCCTCGACTTACAGCAGTTTGTTTAGTGACCGTTCAAAGTCACAACAGCGCTGGGGATTTAGGACCGTTTTTCACACTTACGACCGGGGCGGCATTTTCCCGTGGTCAAAATCCAGGTGCTTGGCCACGGACTCACATTTATGACGGTCACAAGTGTCCCGGGGGTGTGTGTGTCACGTGATCTCCTTTTGCGACCTCCTGACAGACCAAGTCAAGCCGGATTCGCTTAACAACCGTCGGACTCGCTTAAGTTGAGTTTTGCCCCATTTTACGACTTTCCTTGCTACGGTCATTGAGCGAATCACTGCCGTTGTCAAATTAGTGATGTGAAATCCGGCTTCCCCCATCGACTTTGCTCGACAGAAGGTCGCGAAAGGGGATCGCGTAACTCCGGGGACACTACAATACTTATGACACTGCGTCATAAACGCGAGTCACTTGTGTCAAGAGTCCAAATAGAAATCATATGACTATGGGGTTGCTGCCATGGGGTCGTAAGTGTGAAAAATGGTCGTAAGTCCCTTTTTTCAGGGCCGTCGTAACTTTGAAACGGTCACTTAAGTGAACTGTCGTAAGCTGAGGACTACCGGTAAAGTAGACATCCGGGTTGTGATTCCACTGCGGTTTACCCCGTAGCACTGAGATTGGGCTGCCCCAGAAGGGAAAGACTACGAGGAACCCAATTTCCTCAACCTCACACTGAGCTCCTTCCAAGCTGCAACCTCTCTAGCCCCATCTTTGGAGCCCCGTAGCTAAAAGCTTGGGGGGGGGGAGCCCGTGGAGTTTGTATGTTGTGGCCTGTCGGCCTCCAGCCCCTCCGGCGGCCGAATCAGAGGAGGAGGAGGAGGCGGTGTGGGAGTCGGGATCAGCATCAAGGCAACCCGAGAGCTCCGAGGGGGAGGAGGGAATGGAGCCGTCACAGAGAGAGACAGAGGCGGAGCCTGGGCCATCCGTCAGCCCTCAGATGGAGAGTCAACAGCCCCCAGGTCTGGAGGTGGCTGATGAAGAGGAGGAGGAACAGCTGGGTCCAGTGCCTGATGCACAGAAGGCAGAGGAGAGGAGAGCAGTGGAAATCTATTGGCTGGTCGATCCTTGGGATGGAAGAGCCACCACTGCTAGCAAAGCCCCGCCCTAACTCTGGGGATCAAAGGCAGGGGGCGGAGATAAATAGATGGGGCAGACAACTATTCATCTCCTTGTCAGTTCTCCAATGGAGAGTCAACAGCCCCCAGGTCTGGAGGTGGCTGATGAGGAAGAGGAGGAACAGCTGGGTCCAGTGCCTGATGCATGGATTCATAGAAGAAAGAGGAGAGGAGAGCAGTGGAAATCTATGGGCCGGTCCTTGGGACAGAAGAGCCACTGCTGCTAGCAAAGCCCCACTCTAGCTCTGGGGATCAAAGGCAGGGGGCGGAGATAAATAGATGGGGCAGACAACTATTCATCTCCCTGCCAGACGGACTTCTTAGCTTGCGGTGAGAGAGACACTTTTTGCCGCGGCTGCCGGCGTTCCTAATAAAAGGAATCATTGCTTCAACTGCAGAGGGTTTGTCGTCTTCGGGGAGCCTGGTCAGAACATTGTATTTGTGGGCCAGAGATGCCAAATGAGGCTGGGGGCAAATCTCGGCCTTTGCCTTCACATAGTAGCAACCAAGTTCGGTTAGCTCGGCCCCCTGAGGTTCGCCAAGTGGGGAAAACGTTGGCTGAGATGGGCCCCTAACACAGCATTGGATTTCCTGCAGCAGCTTTCTGGGTTTTCTCCTCCGGTGTCTCCTGTGGGGCTTCCTTCCCCGAAATCTGGGTGGCTCCTGACCTCTCCTGCCCCCCACCCCCGGCTTCCTGGCCCAAGGCCTCCTTCAGATCCTTCCTTCCTTCCTTCCTTCCTTCCTTCCTTCCTCCCTTCCTTCCTTCCTTCCTTCCTAGCTATCCTCCCTCCCTCCCTAGCTCTCCTTCCTTCCTTCCTTCCTTCCTAGCCAGCCTTCTTTCCTTCTTTCCTAGCTATCCTCTTTCCCTCCCTAGCTCTCCTTCCTTCCTTCCTTCCTTCCTTCCTTCCTTCCTTCCTTCCTTCCTAGCTATCCTCCCTCCCTCCCTAGCTCTCCTTCCTTCCTTCCTTCCTAGCCAGCCTTCCTTCCTTCTTTCCTAGCTATCCTCTCTCCCTCCCTAGCTCTCCTTCCTTCCTTCCTTCCTTCCTTCCTTCCTTCCTTCCTTCCTTCCTTCCTTCCTAGCTATCCTCCCTCCCTCCCTAGCTCTCCTTCCTCCCTTCCTCCCTTCCTTCCTAGCCAGCCTTCCTTCTTTCCTAGCTATCCTCTCTCCTTCCTAGCTATCCTTCCTTCCTTCCTCCCTCCCTCCCTCCCTCCCTTCCTAACCATCCTCCCTCCCTCCCTAGCTATCCTTCTTTCTTTCCTTCCTTCTTTCCTAGCTATCCTTCCTTCCTTCCCTCCCTCCCTCCCCCACCGTCCGTCCCTCCCTCCTCCCACTAACCTGTGTGATGCTGTCCCGCATGGTGGGGGAACGGCCCCGCCGCGTGGTGGTCGTGGCCATGGTGGTGGTGGTCTCCATGATGGTCGTGGACATGTCCGCCAGCAGGGTGGTGGCCGTGGTCTCGGTGGTCATGACGGAGGGCACCTCGCCCACCAGCCGCAGGTTGCCCTCCACCTTCACGTTGGCGTCGCTCTCGGCGGCCAAGGAGAGGACCTTGAGCCCGTTGTAGTACAGCCCCGAGACCTGGCCCTGGAAGGGGCGGCCCTGGTCGCGGCCTCCGATCTTGATGGCGGCCTGGCTGTTGAAGATGGTCAGCTGACGACCTGCCGGAGGAGCCACAGAGAGGAGCGGAGAGGTGAAAAGGGCGCTCGGCCGGACGCAGCCTCCCAACACCAGAGCTGTCAAGGTCAGGCCAGGTGCCCCCCACCCACCCACCTCCCCTTATTCCCCAGGCTTCCACATGCATCGACCTCCTGGCCTTGCTCCACACCCGGCAGCACTTCCCGAGGCCATACCACCGCCTGAACCCCCTAAGCTGAGCATATCCGCTGTGCCACCAAGCCCCCCCCCTCCCGGCCAGGGTCCACTTAACCAGGCTTTCCACTGCAGCTAGCAGGACCCTCTGATGGGGGCCAGGTGGAAATCCAGCCACCGACTCCACTTGCTCTGCCTTTCCACCACCTACGATCAATTCTGGGTTGCATTTGCATCTCCCGTTTCCTTATTCATCTCCTTCCTTCCTTCCCTCCCCATCTTCTTCGTATTGTCCCCTCCTTCCCCACTGAGCTTTCTTTTTCTGCTTCTTTCCTTTCCCTTCCTTCCTTCCTTCCCTATTTCTCCCTTTGCTTCCATTCTTCCTTCCTTCCGTCCTTCCTTCTATGACATCTATACTCCTCCCTCCCTCCCTTCTTCACTGCCTCCTTCCTCCCTTCCTGCCCTCCCTATTTCTCCCTTTGCTTCCATTCTTCCTTCCTTCCGTCCTTCCTTCTATGACATCTATACTCCTCCCTCCCTCCCTCCCTTCTTCTCTGCCTTCTTCCTTCCCTCCCTATTTCTCCCTTTCCTTCCATTCTTCCTTCCTTCCGTCCTTCCTTCTATGACATCTATACTCCTCCCTCCCTCCCTCCCTTCTTCTCTGCCTTCTTCCTTCCCTCCCTATTTCTCCCTTTCCTTCCATTCTTCCTTCCGTCCATCCTTCCATGACATCCATACTCCTCCCTTCCATCCTTCCCTACTTTCTTCTCTGCCTCCTTCCTCCTTTCCTCCCCTTCGTTCCCTCCCTATTTCTCCCTTTGCTTCCACTTTTCCTTCCTTCCATCCATCCCTCCATGACATCCATACTCCTTCCTTCCCTCCTTTCTTCTTCTCTGCCTTCCTTCCTGCCCTCCCTATTTCTCCCTTTGTTACTATTCTTCCTTCTTTCCATTCTTCCTTCCTTCTTCCCTGCCTCCTTCCTCCCTTCCCTATTTCTCCCTTTGCTTCCATTCCTCCTCCCTCCCTCCCCTTCCTTCCACCCTTCCATCAAAGCCTCTGGAGGATTTTAAGCAGATGGGGTGCCCTGCCTCCTATCTCCACCCCACGCAATCCCAGAGACCTGGGGCTGCTCACCAGCTGTGGGAGAGGTGGGGACACCCCCTCCCGAGGTCCAGCGGGGTCCCTGCCTGAGCCTGCAGCCCAAAGAACCACAGACCCTCTCGCTTCCCCTTTCTGATTAAGGGGGGTGGGTGGAGAGAGGGGTCTGCCAGTGTCCAGCCTCCCTGTTTCTCCATCCTTTCTCCCTCGTCCCCTCCCCCGTTCTATTTCTCACTCCCCCCCTCCATTCTGGAAAGAGATTCCCTGTCACTTTGCTGAGCCCCCTCCCCTCCCCGGAATATCAGTAGGCCCTCCAAACCCACCACCCATTCCGATCTAGCATCTAGGCCAGGGACGGCGAACCTTTTCAGCACCGAGTGCCGAAACGGGGGCGCGTGCGTGCATGCAGGAAACCGGAAGATTAGCCACCCGGTCCGCATGCGCGTGCTGGGAAGATAATCTGATTTCTGCCACGCGGATGTGCACCGGCTACCTGGTCTTCCGGTTTCTGGTGCGCCTGCATGCGTGAAGACCAATTGGTCGGTGCGCATGCGTGCGCAGGAAACTGGAAGATCGTCTTCCTGGCACACGCATGCGGACCGGATGGCTGCTCTTCTGGTTTCCGGTGCTTCCGCGCCCGTGAAGACCAGCTGGCCGGCGCGCCGGAAAGAGCAACAAGCAATGACTCGCGTGCCCAAAGAGATGGCTCTGCGTGCCGCTTCCGGCACGCGTGTTGTAGGTTCGCCGTCACGGATCTAGGCAGACTAAGAGTGAGGCGGGAGGCGAAGCCTGGAAAAAATGCCGAATCTCGGCTTGATTTAAGACCCCGCCTCATTTTGCAGGACCCCCAATTGTCAACTGTGCCTGCTGCACACACACCCTACACACCCCTGTGCCTTTCTGGCTGGCTTTGCACGCTCGGCGGGAAGCTTAGCAGCTGCATTTGCTCACCACGTCAAGCATGCGATGTTCACCTTGCTACAACGGGTAGCCCTCGACTTACGGCCCCCCCCAATCGAAGCCAACATTCCTGGGGCTAAGCGAGACATCGGTTAGGGTGAATTTCACCCCGTTTTAACGACCTTTGTTGCCCACCGTCGTTAAGCGAATCGCTGCACGCGTTAAATGAGGAACCCGGGTGTTAAGTCAATCTGGCGAAGTCAAAAGGCGTTGGGGGGACACCGCAACCGTCATAAATATGAGTCAGTTGCCCAGCGGCTGAATTTTGATCCCGTGACCATGGACACGTTGCAATGGTCGTTAACTGTGAAAAACGGTTGTCTTTTTTCCACTGCCGTTGTAATTTCAAACGGTCACTAAATGAAACGTCGTAAGTTGAGGCCTACCTGCATTGAGTTGGGCCAGTTTATGGTTTAAAGGAGGGGGTGAATCCAGAAAAAACGTGTTCATTCATGTCATTTAGGTAACAAAAGCCCCTCAAGCTTCATTCTCAGGAGACACTAATCTTGAACAGGAAGTCCTCGATTTACAACGGTTCATTTAGTGACTGTTCGAAGTTACAGTGGTCCTGAAAAAAAATTAACTTACGGCAGATTTTAACAATTACGATCCCATAATTGTCTCTCATCTGCTTGTCTCTGGATGCTGCTGAATTTCGATCCTGAATTATTACAGGTAGTCCTCCACTTACGAAAGTTCACTTAGCGAACATCCAAAGTTACAACGGCGCTGAAAAATAGTTGACTTACAACTGTTTTTCACACTTGCGAATGCTGCAGCATCCCCTGATTTACATTCGCGTGTTTGACAACCGACTCGCCTTTATGACCATTGCAGGGTCACGTGATCCCCTTTTGCGGCCTTCTGACAAGCCAAGTCAAGAGGGGGAAACCAGATTCACTTAACGACCATGTTACTAAGAGCAGCAAGGGATCCCCTAAACAAATGTGGCGAGGAAAGTCGTAAAACGGGGCAAAACTCAACGAATTTCCAAATTTTGGGCTCAGTTACGGACGTAAGTTGAGGAGTCTGTGTGTAAGTAAGTAAGTAAGTGTACACATAATTTTGTATTTATTTATTGTCATGGTTATGTACCCTTTGATAGCCGTGTGCAACGAAATTTCATTTTAATGTATGCCGATTAGTGTACATTCAAAGCAAGGGTGAAACGCTCCCAGTTTAGACCGGATCGCCCAATCCGGTTGCGATGGAGGCGGGTGGTTCGGAGGACCGGTAGCAAAAATCCCTGCCCCTCCCCCATTGTCCAGCTGAGCCGTGCAATCATCAGAAGCTTTTTTTTTAAATGCCTCTGACGATCCAAGCTGTTCGGCGAAGAGGTTGTAAAAAAATGCTTTCAAAAGCCTCTGACGATCCCAGCTGAGTTGCCTGATCGTCAGAGGCTTTTTTTCTTTTAAATGCCTCTGGCGATCAGGCAACTCAGCTGGGATCGTCAGAGGCTTTTAAAAGAAAAAAAAGCCTCTGCCAATCAGGCAACTCAGCTGGGATCGTCAGAGGCTTTTAAAAGAAAAAAAAGCCTCTGCCAATCAGGCAACTCAGCTGGGATCGTCAGAGGCTTTTAAAAGAAAAAAAGCCTCTGCCAATCAGGCAACTCAGCTGGGATCGTCAGAGGCTTTTAAAAGAAAAAAAAGCCTCTGCCAATCAGGCAACTCAGCTGGGATCGTCAGAGGCTTTTAAAAGAAAAAAAGCCTCTGCCAATCAGGGAACTCAGCTTGGATCGTCAGAGACATTTAAAGAAAAAAAAAGCCTCTGCCAATCAGGCAACTCAGCTGGGATCGTCAGAGGCTTTTAAAACTATTTTTTCTACAACCTCTTCAGCGAAGAGGCTGTAAAAAAATGCTTTCAAAAGGCTCTGACGATCCCAACTGAGTCGCGCGATCATCAGAGGCTTTTTTTTTTTTACTTTTAAAAGCATTTTTTCGGCCGAAGAGGTTGTAGAAAAAATGCTTTTAAAAATTAAAAAAAAAGCCTCTGATGATTGTGCGGCTCAGCTGGGCATGGGGGGCAGCAGGGATTTTTGCCACCGGTTCTCCGAACCACCGGACTCCATTGCTACCGGATTGGGCGATCCGGTCCGGTCCGAACCGGGAGCATTTCACTCCTGAGCCAATCCATCCTGGCTTAGCTATGTCTGATTTGGAAAAAGGATGGGGGCCCTGCTGGGATTCCCCCCACCAGTTGGGGGTCTGCTGCTATTTCCCAACCAGGGCAACAGTTCTGGTCCACAGTGGAAGGGAGCAGGAAGGACCCTTCCCCAAATTTTCTCTTTCTGGATCTCATCTCCCCCCCCCAGTCTCACCTTGTCACAGGTGACAAATTGGGGGCAAGGTTTTTTTTTTTTTTTTTTTTAAAAAGAGGGGTGCCAAGCTCAGTTATCACAGGTAGTCCTCGACTTACGGCCACAACTGAGCCCAGGATTTACGTTGCTAAGTGAGAAATCTTTTGAGTTTCGTCCCTTTTTACGACAGTTGTAAAGTGAATCACTGCGGGTTGTTCGAATAGGGACACAGTTGTTAAGTGAATCTGGCTTCCCCCGTTGACTTGGCTTTGTCGGAAGGCCGCCATAGCAGGGGTTCACACCGCCCGTCATAAATACGAGTCGGCGGCCAGGCGCCTGAATTTTGACCACCTGACCACGGGGATGCCGCAATGGTCACAAGTGTAGAAAAACGGTCATAAGTCACTTCTTTCAATGCCGCTGCGACTTCAAACGGTCGTTAAGTGAACTGTTGTAAGTCGAGGATTATCTGTACTTCCCAAATCTGCAAAACGA